GAAGGAGGGAGGAGAAAGAGGAGGGAGAAGAGGAGGGGGCAGGAGAACATGAGGGATCAGAAAGACTGAGTGGGGAGAGGAATAGAGGAGAGCAAGAAAAGAGACATCAGTAGAGGGAGCCACTACAGGTTTAAAGAGAAATCTGGCACTAGGGAATTGTACAGAGATCCACAGGATAACCCCAACCAGGAACCTAAGCAATAGTGAAGAGTCTACCCTAAATGCCCTTCTCCTATACTGAGATTGATGACTACCTTAAAAGCCATCCTAGAGCCTTCACCCAGTAGCTGAGGGAAGCAGAAGCAGAGATCCACAGCTAAGCACTGAGCCAAACTCCTGGAATCCAGCTTTAGAAAAGGAGGAGTGATGAACAAAGGGGTCAAGACCATTCTGGAGCAACCCTATAAACAGCTGACTTGAGCAAGTGGGAACCCATAGATCCCAGTCTAACAGCTGGAGAACCAACAAAGGACCAACCCAGGACCCCTGAACGTGGGTGTCAGCTAGAAGCACTGGGAAGTCTGGGGTCTCTGGCAGTGGAATCACGATGTATCCCTAGTGCACGAACAGACTTCAGGAGCCCATTTCCCATGGAGGGATACTCTCTTGGCCTAGATACACAGGGGAGGGCCTAGACTTGACAGATTCTGATGATCCCTCATGGAAGGCTTCACCCTCCCTGGAGAGTGGATGGGGGATGGGATGGGGGGCCAGTGGGGGGCATAGGAGGATGGGAGGAAAAGGGAACTGGGATTGATATGTAAAATAAGAATAAAAAATATAAGCCGGGCGTTGGTGGCGCATGCCTTTAATCCCAGCACTCGGGAGGCAGAGGCAGGCGGATCTCTGTAAGTTCGAGACCAGCCTGGACTACCAAGCGAGTTCCAGGACAGCCTCCAAAGCCACAGAGAAACCCTGTCTCGAAAAACCAAAAAAAAAAAAAAAAAAAAAAAAAAAAGAATAAAAAATATAAAAAAGAAAAAAGGAATTGGGTAAATGTCTGACATGAGACTAGAGGAACAACCCCTTCACCTCTCCAATATATATAAATAAATAAAAGAGCCGAGCATTGGTGGCGCACGCCTTTAGTCCCAGCACTTGGGAGGCAGAGGCCGGCGGATCTCTGTGAGTTTGAGGCCAGCCTGGTCTACAGAGCTAGTTCCAAGACAGCCTCCAAAAAGCAATACAGAGAAACCCTGTCTTGAAATACCAAGAAAAAGAAAAAAGAATCCTTTAGCCCCATTCTCTAACCTCAGGCAACCAGACACTGAGGCTGCTGTTGACATGTGGGTGGCAAGAATATGCCTGAAATTCCCTACCCACACCACAAAAAGAACATTATGCAATGTCAAGGCCAGGTTTCAGGCATCTAACTGGAGGGACAAATCATTACATTTAAGGAGAAATGTCCCCCTACTCTATACTCCAAGATTTTGTAACCTAGGTGGTTCTCAAACAACTGTCACTCCTCCTGGCCCCTCCCCTCAAGTGTGGGGAGTATCAGCATATGGCAGCACCCTGAGAGGAGTGGTTTCATCAAGATGCCAATGCCCCCCTTGAAGCAACCCTTCTTCCTGCTTTAATCTCCTATGTAGCAGGCTAGCTCTTTTGTTGTTGTTGTTGGGGAGTTTTTTGTTGATTTTTGAGACAAGGTCTCTTTACATAGTCCTGGCTTTCCTGGAACTCACTATGTAGACCAGGCTGGCCTAGAACTCAGAGATCCTCCTGCCTCTACCTTCCAAGTGCTGGGCTTAAAGGTTCATGCTACCATATTGGGCTTTAAACTGTCTTATCTTTTATAAATAGCCTATTCGAGCCAAGCATGGTAGCACAGGCCTATAACCATAGCCCTTTGGAAGTAAAACCAGGAGGATCACAAGTTCAAGATCACACTCACCACATAGTTATGCCTGAGGAGAGAGAGCATGGCTACACGAAATTCTGGAGGGGGGGGTCTGGAGGAGACACCAGCTCTCAATGTTAAATAGCTTGACTAGCTCACTAAATGATTCTTGGAGATTTTATACTTGAGGAACTTTATTTTTACAACCCTTGGCTTAAAAAGGGAACACCACAAATTCACCACACTTATATAGACAAAAACTGCTTGTCTTACACAAAATGGAAAAACAAGTCTAAAGGCTAGTTAAAAAGGCTTCCAATAAATGTTACTATGCCACCATCCGTAAAACAGTTTCTCAAAGCACACAAGGCCTATGAGTGAACTAATGAATACTGGGAAGCATTTACTAGATGGTTGTCATTTCACAGCTATAAATACCAGGTTCAAACCACTAGTAAACAAAAATCTTTTGTTTTGCATTTTAATATGGCATAAAAGAGTTTAACTGTCTATCCCCCACTACTGCATACCACAAAACTGAATGAAATTCAATATTCTGGTTCTAAGAATTTATACCTGATAAATTACCTAGACCATGTCACAGTACTTTACTTTTTCCAAACCTATGCCAATTTTGCTGTATTTTTACTCCTTTGATTAACACTAATTTCTGGGCAGTGTCTGGCCTTACCTAAAATTGGGATATAAACCAGACTCATAAATAAGACATTATAAAAGTGAGGCATTGCAATTTCACAGACCATTTTTTTTTTGAGACAGGATTTCTCTATGTTATCTTTGGCTGTCCTGAAACTCACTCTGTAGACCAGGCTGACCTCAAACTCAGAGATCTGCCTGCTTCTGCCTCCCAAGTGTACTGGATTAAAGGAGTGCACTACCATGCCCGGCTGCCCCCAAAACAAATTTTTACCAGTCTTTAATTATGTATATGTGTCTGTGGTGGGTACGTGCATGTGTGCTCAGGTGCCATTGGAGGACAGCAGATGCCCCAGAGCTAGACTCCCAGGTGGTTGTGAGCCACCTGGTGCACCTGCTGGGGACTGAGCTGATCCTCTGACAAAAGGAGTACAGGGTCTAACCCACTGAGCCATCTCTCCAGCCCCATGTTACTTGTTTTTTGAGACAGGGTTTCTCTGTGTATCTCTGGCTATATTGGAACTCAGATTTCCATCTGCCTCTGGGATTAAAGGTGTGTTCTCCATCACTACCTGGCCCCATGTTATTTCTTTATAAGCTACTTCCCCCCAAGTATCACAGATTTATAAAAAGGGGAAAACCAGGGCTGGAGAGCTGGCTGCTCAGGTGAAGTACACTGGCTGCTCTTACAGAAGACCTAGGTCTGATTCCCATTACCCACATCAGGTGGCTGACAACCATCTGTGACTTAGGGGATCTGACACTCTCTTCTGCCCTCCAAGGGCACCAGGTATACACATGGGGCACAGATATATATATGCAGGCAAAACACCTCTATGTGTAAAATAATTTTGAAAAGTTTTAGTGAAAACTGAACTGGATATGGAGGTCCATGCCTGTAAACCCCAACACAAACACATGCTGGGTATGGTGGAACTTGCCTTTAATCCTAGCACTTGGAGGGCAGAAGCAGATCAATGTCTTGTGAATTCCAGGTCAACAACAACAAACAATAAGAAAATTAAAATTGTGTTGCCGAGTTATACGTGGGGCTTTTTGTTTGATAGTTTTGTACCCAACCCCAATCCTTCCCTTTGGTTCTCCTGCCAGTAATCCTTTCCCTTCTGACTCATTTCTGCACATTTATGACCATCACTTCCTTGAAGATCTGCCTCAAAAATTTGGCTCCTTGGGAATCCCTCCTGGGCTGAACCTATTTCCATCAAATACTTTTTTTGCTGTTTTCTTGAGACAGAATCCCACTGTGTAGCCCTAGCTAGCTTGGAACTCAGTATGTAGACCAGACTGGCCTCCAACTCATAGAGGCTCTGCCTGCCTCTGCCTCTTGAGTGCTGGGATAAAAGGTATGAACTACCTATGTGACTTGTTAAATTTGCAATCCCTTAGCCCCTTGTAATCTGTACTCCAGAGTCAAGTGTTTAATGTTTTTCCTCCCTAGAAGTTGTTTTGCATTCTCTATCATTTCCCCATGTAGAGATAAAACAGGGACAGCACCTTTCATATTCTCCATTATAAGCTAGCAGCAATAAATGCTCCTGGAATGACTGACTCAACAGCGGAAATGAAGCTGGTCGTGCAATTATTTCTAAAGCAAGCAACTGGCTTTTCATTTACAATATCCCATTATCTTCAACATGCATTAAGTCTTTGGAGAGGAGATTCAATTCTATTTCAGTTGCATCAATTCAAATGAAACATAGCACAGAGATAACATTCACATTTAGGGTACAGAATAACTGACTATTCACACATACCGTGTGATGGTACGATTTCTGGATTCTTATAAAATGCCTACGGTCTTGAGGCAGCACGCCTGCAAGCGGTAGGGAAGCTGGCACCAGTCTCTTGCAAAAGGGGCGAAACTCTAGTTGGCAGTAAAAAGCTCAAACACGTGAGCCTCCACTGTTAAACAAGGCTCATTAACCACACAAACTTGCTGTTTCAGCTCTCTGCCTTCCATGAAGTGCTATGATCTCCTCTGGTTATTGTTGAGAGCCAATGATGGGTTAAATTCCCATAAATTAACCAGTGCTTTGGTGGTTTGCCCAAGCAAACTGCTGGCATCGGTGTGGATGGATAAAATAGACCCGCCCGCCCCGGGAGCCCGAGGTGACTTAAGAAAGCGCCCAACCGACGCTTCTCAGCAAGCAAAAAGGAGACTACAGAACTCGAGCCGATCGCCGTCTCCGCAGTCAGCGCTTAGTGTCAGCTTATCGTGCAAGGGGGTGAGCTTCGCACGCGCCTGCTGCACCCCACCCCACCCCGATCTCAGCTGAGTCTCGCTGAGGGGCGGCAAAGCCACACTTGGATGTCTACCCAACTTTGTCCTCGCAGTTTTTCCACACTCCAGAGCCCCAGAAAAGGAGGTCTGGTGGCTGAGGCGGAGGGTACCGGCTCGCCCCGCACAGGCGTCGGGGTGGCAGAAACAAAGTGCGCGCTGGCGAGCCCAGACCGCCACCGCCCGCCCGGCCCCGCTCACCCTCCAGCAGCACCTCCTTGCCCGCGCGCTTCAGCGCCTGCACGGCCTGGTCGTGGGTGGCCTGGCGCAGGTCGGTGCCGTTCACCGACAGGATGGCGTCGCCCAGCCGCAGCGCCCGGCTCTGGTCGGCCGCCAACCCCGGGAAGATCTTGGAGATGAGGATCGGCATCCGGTTCTCGCGGCCGCCCTTGATGCTGATGCCCAGGCCGCCCGCCTCCTGCTTCACCACTCGCACTCGGCGCACGGGCGGCGAGGCACCCGCCTCCCCAGCGGGGTCGCGGGGCGGGGCGGGCGGGCTGGGCGGCCCCAGGCCGCGGTTCGGGCTCCCGGGCAGCGAGTCGCCGCCGCCGCCGCCGCCGTTCGGGAGACCGTTGAAGGCGGCAGCCGGCGGCTCGGGCTCCACCGCCGCGGCGTCGCCGGTCAAGCTGAGGCTCTCGCCGCTGAGTTCAGCCACCACCCGCACCCAGCGCTCCCTTAGAAGCAGCTCCACCAGCCCCGCTTTGGTGGCCCGCGTCCACACCGCCATGGCCGGCCCTGCTCCCGTGGCCGCCGTCGCTGCAGCTCCCTGGATTCCAGTCAGGCAGCCTCGGCGCTTCCCCCTTCCCGCCCGAGGGGGGCGGACCCCTCCCCTCCCCCCGGCGATTCATTATTCATGAGTGTCACGCCCCCTTTCCGGAGGGGCGGGGGAAGGCCGGCGAGGCGGCTTCCGGGAGGTGAAATTGTCCTGGTTCGCAGAAAGCTCTTGGTAGGTGGGCAGCACCTCTCGGGCCGCTTGGCTCCTCGCGGGCCTTCGCGTTGGTTCTCCGTGACCCGCCTCGAGCTCCTGATTTCTAAGAGAGCTGTCCGGGCACGGAGAACGAAGTTAGGACGGAGAGGCACTTTGTGACCCTGCAGGGCCGGGTGGCGCATTCGTTCCTGTACTGATTGGTTCTTTGCAAAGACTCTAAGCGCTCTGAGGTGTGCTGGGACTCCTTTTAAGGCCCTGGAAACAGACTGAATAAAATACACCACAGCTGAGAGAGCTTGTGGTCTGCTTTGGAAAGAAAAACAGAGGCAACTAACTAGGTGTGATTCTCTGTGGTTAAAAGACTGTACAAACGTCCCTAGGACAGGATAAAAAGAACGTTTGGTTAGTCTTGGGTAAGTAGCACAGAGCCGACAGTAGAGAGAATAGCACAAGCAAAAGATAAAATGTAAGTGAACATGGGCCCAAGGACATGAATCCAAGGCTTTGCCACTGTTTATTTATTTATAGTATTATTAGTTAATTTATGGTGTATTGGCGTCAGAGCCCCCTGGAACTGGAGTTACAGTTGTGAGCTACCATGTGGATGCTGAATTCAGGTCCTTTGGAAGAACAGTCAGTGCTCTTAAGCTGAGCCGTGTCTCCAGTCCTTGTCAGTGCTTTTTTAAATCACCTGTGTACTCGCCTGTAATTAGAGGGGACCATACCTTCTGAAGCTCTGGGAAGTCACAGTGTGCAGGGTCAAAGACATTTGCAGCATGGTGATGTTTTAATAGTTTCCCCAGAGAAAAAGACCAATGGAGACATAATTAACATAGATTGTGCAGAATTAGCCACAGGATTATAGAGGCTAAATTCCACAATCTACCATCTGCAGCCCCAGGAAAGTTGGTTGGTATGCTTTGGATCAAAATCCAAAGACCTGAGAACCAGAGGAGCCAACGGTGGAAGTCTGAAGGTTTCAGAGGAGTGGAGGCCTGAGGAGGAAATAGGAGTGGAAAGCTACAATGTAGAAAAGCTGGCCCAGTCCATGGAAAGCCAGGCGCAATGAAGTGTAGCAGAAGAGAGATGTCCCAGTTTTCTTTTTTCTTTTCTTTTCTTTCTTTTTTTTTTTTTTTTTTTTTTTTTTTTGGTTTTTCGAGACAGGGTTTCTCTGTGGCTTTGGAGGCTGTCCTGGAACTAGCTCTTGTAGATCAGGCTGGCCTCGAACTCACAGAGATCCACCTGCCTCTGCCTCCCAAGTGCTGGGATTAAAGGCATGCGCCACCAACACCCGGCTTCCCAGTTTTCACACAGAGTGAATTTCCCTGTACCTCACCGTTCCATCGTAGTTCTCACCTGACTGGATAATGCTTGTTTACACTGGTCGTCTTTACTTAGGTCACTGTGAAAATGATTTCTTCCAGAAGCACACAGACACAAACAAAAATGTTTTATATCCCCCTATCCAGTGTCTATCCAGGCATCTTTTATCACAGTCAAGTGAACACAAAAATTAGCCATCTGTGATGGTTACTTAGGAAGGAGTAGTGTGTGTGAAAAGCTTCAAATAACCGCATATTGAAAAGTATTCTTGATTTTGTAGGCTTGCCAATCTTTTTGGGGGGGGCGGGGAGGGCTTCGAGACAGGGTTTCTCTGTGGCTTTGGAGGCTGTCCTAGATCTAGTTCTTGTAGACCAGGCTGGTTTTGAACTCACAGAGATACGCCTGCCCCTGTCTCCCAAGTGCTGGAATTAAAGACGTGCCAGCACCCGGCACATTGCCAATCTTAATCCAGGTCCCATCGTTTTTTTGTTTGTTTTTTTGAAGCAAATGTAGATAAACATCCAGAAACAGTATAAATATTTGTTATCTAAAGAGTCGTCAATTTTGCCTAATTGAAGAGTCAATAACCAAGACTATAATTCACTGTTTCTTCTGGCTCTGTGGGGTAGAGGAACTCCAACTTAAAGACACTGACAAGCCTTTGATCCCAGCACTGGGAGGTGGGGAGAGGGGATGCAGATTTCTGTGAGTTTGAAGCCATCTTGGTCTGCAGAGTGAGTTCCAGGACAGCAAGACTATGTTACACAGAAAAACCCTATCTCGAAAAACAAACAGTATTTTTTGTTTGTTTGTTTGTTTGTTTGAGACAGGCTTTCTCTGTGTAAGAACCCTGGCTTTCCTGGAACTCACTCTGTAGACCAGGCTGGCCTGGAACTCACAGAGGTCCTCCTGCCTCTGGTATTAAAAGTGTGTGCCACACTGACAACTTTTTTTTAAGACTCTGACATAAAGTCCACACACACAAAAAAAGACAAATTTGGTCTCTATCTTCCTGGTTCAGTGTTCTGTTTACTCTCCACTCCCCTATCTCAAAAAGGAGGGTTTGGGCAGGAATTGTGGCTCATAACTGAAATCCCAGTGCTCAGGGTCCTCAAGATGCTAAATCAGGAGGAGTAAGTATTACCATATGTGAGTTCCAGGTCAGCCAGGACAACACAGTAAGACTATGTCTTAAATAAAATCTAGGCTGTGCAGAGGTGGTATACTACTTTAGTCCCAGCACTCGGGAGGCAGAAGCAGGTAGATCTTGAGTTGGAGGCCAGCTTGGTCTATAAAGCAAGTGAGTTCCAGGACAGCCAGAGCTGTTACACAGAGAAACCCTGTCTCAATACATACATACACAAATAAAACGTTGCTGAGAAGGTAAGTTCTCTTGGCAAAATCATTAGGACCAAGATGCCCTCTAAGCTTTCTTTAGTAGTAAAAATAAAACCCCCATGCTTCCATTTGGGCAGACGGGGCAAACAGGGAATGTGCATCAATTCTTGTAAAATGGGAAGTTCGAAGGATCACTCAGGAAATACACGGTGAAGAGCCTACACTGTGGCCCTGTACCACTATCAAAGTGCTTTCATGTGCAGACAGGACATGGGCTAAGCATTCAGAGCCGGAGTGAATAAAGAATCCAAAATGAGAAATGTATCTTTTTATCAAAAGTAAAGGATCGTTACAACAGGTCTTTGTAGTGAGTGGGGCATGATTTTCCAAGCTGCAAATGTCAGCGAAAGCTCAACCCTCTAGCCTCCTCTTAAATCAACTGCAGTAAAGCTGTTGTTCCGGCAGGTCCCGATGTGCCCAGGTGCACCTGCAGTCACAGGCATTTCTGGCTTCCCTCCAGCTGAGCCAGAGCCCCCAGAGGCCTGAGTTATGTCAAATTTCTGCTTGTTAGAGAGCATTTGGCAGCTGATTCCTCAGAGTCTGAGCACTAATTTTAACACTTTTGCATATGTGATCATGAGGAGGGGGCTGGGCAATCGAGGACACCTTTATTAGCAAAAGGGAAGTGCTGGGAATTCTTTCCAAGAGTATGAAGTCCTTTTTTGTCAATAGAGTTGGAGGAAGTCACAAATTATTGGTGAGGACACTTATGTAAGATAGTAAGTTATATAACAAAATATTTAAACCTGGGAACAGGGGAGGTAATAGAGATTACTTAGGAGTATTTTCTTAAAATTATTTTGAAGCAGTGCCTTTGACCTACATAGGCCTGGTTGGCACTGAACCTTTTGCCTCTAGAGTATAGTGTGTGTGAAGTATGTGCGTATATGTGTGGATGCAGGTACACACAACCTCAGGTGTCAGTCCTCTTTCAGCCATGTTTTGTGACAGGTTTCTTGTTTGCTACTGCAAATACCGGTCTGGTTGGGGCGCGAGCATCCAGGGGTTCTCGTTTCTGCCTTCCATCGTGCTATAGGAGCCCTGGGATTACAGGCATGAGTTACCTCACTGCGCTTAATTTTCATTCATTGATTCAAACTCATGATCTCATATTTATGCAGCAAGAACTTTCAACTGCTGGGCCATTTCTCCAGCCCCTATGTTCCTCGCCCTGAGACAATGTAGCCCACGCTAGCTCCAACTTTGCTGTGTAGCCAAGAATGACCTTGATTCCCAGCTTCCAAAGTGAAGTCCATCTTCATAGTTGCATTTCCACATTCTTTCACTCAGATTCTCACCCTGCCAGTGTCTTCCAGTGATGTCTCACACCTTCACACCCAAGCCCTTTAGAATACCTCTGGTCCCATCCAGCATAGCCTCATTCCAGCTTTCTGTGACTCCTACATCTTTGGGACTTTTCCTTTGAACAATGTAATTCTATGCCTAGGCTGGAATGCCCTACTAAGTTATATATTCCACGGAAGGCAAAGACCACCTATCAATTATTTTTGCTCCCTACTATTTGAAAAATACTGCCTTGCAGAGAGGAAACTCATTAAACATGTGACTGATTGGCACCCATGTTTCCTGCGCTGTCATCTTTTCAAATAATCCCTATGAAAGTTGTGGGTTTCTTGCAGCGTAGAAATTACCATCTAAGAAACCTCAAGTAGTTGGTGAAATCTACTTACTGTGGATAATGAAATCTGAAATAGGGTACACATCTGTTCCCATGGTTTCCTAAGGACAGGGAGACAAGCTTAGAGAGTTCTAGCAAGCATATTATTATTATTACGGTTTTTTTTTTGTTGTTGTTTTTGAGACAAGGTTTCTCTGTGGCTTTGGAGAATGTCCTGGAACTAGCTCTTGTAGACCATGCTGGTCTGCAAGCATATCATTTTACCTCTAAAAGAGAAAATGGCTGAGACAGTTCCTGTAACCTTTCATTCCTGTCACCTATACCAATAGCTCTTCTCTGTTAGCAATTGGTCACTGTTTCTCAGAACAGACAGAGCTCATTACTACTTCAAAATGAGGGGATGTCAGTAACTCCTAGGGTTCTGTAATTCCATCCTAAGATTCCAAGTCAGGCTGTCCCTAAGCATCTTCCAAACCTAATCTTTTTCGCTGCACTTCGAGGGTTGAGAGGTGTATATGAACATGAATTAAAAAGCACCAACTGTTGTTACCTGTTGGCCTTCAAAAGGCCAGTGGCAAACAAGAAAGCCTGTGGTGACTCTCCAGCAGAGTCTCCGCTTTTTTTTTTTTTTTGG